CATAAGTACACGCACCCATTTTTTTTAATGTATGTTCACCGCTTTCTCCGTCAATTGTAGACCGATTTCCAAAATTCTTTTTTTATTCGAAAGAGTGCACGTCCGAGGTGGGCCAGCCCATTTGGAGAAATCTAGGGAAACCTTCAAATTTCAAAGGCACGCACGATGTGTTTTATGCGTGTTCACCGATTTCTCCGTCAATTGTCTTATTGTTTACTTGGACGATGTAATTTTCACTAGAATGGATGAAATAAAAAAAATTTAAACCAAAAACATAACTGACTTCAAAGTCGAAAATGGAACTTAAAAGTAAAAAATAATATCTGGTCCATGACTTGGAAGGCGGGCGGGGTCAAGATTGAAACATTAAATATATTTTCGTTTCTGATCGGTAATAATACGTCTTTCAATCTTAAGCTGCCCGACTTCCATCATCATGGACCAGATATTATTATTTACTTTTTAGTTCCATTTTCGATTTTGAAGTCGGTTATACTAGCACCCATCAATGGCACTGGGCCCGCGTGGTGGTTCATGGTCCAATCTCCCTATTTCCTTCCATTGGGAAGGCATGTGCCTCAGCAGTGGGAAAATTAATAAGCTGATAATAATAATGATATAAATGTTAAAGTATAAGCTATGTCTGTAAAGATTTGAAAGCATCAGGAAATAATGAAACTTATTTCCTCCCTATTAGGAATTATACTTTGTTTCTTTTTTTGTTGAAGTGACTAAACGTCATCAACATCATCATCATCAGGCTATTAATGTCCCCACAGGCCTTCCCTATGGATGGAATAGGGAGATCGGGCCATGACCTACCACGCGGGCCCAGTGCGGATAGGCGGGTGCTAACTACTGCAGATGCAGCTGGGACCAACGGCTTAACGTGCCTTCCGAAGCACGGAGGAACTCGAGATAGTAAATTTTTGTTCACCCATCCAATGACCGACCACTGCGAAAGTTGCTTAATTTCAACGATCGCAGCCTAACGCGCTAACCACTTGCGCCATCGAGCTCTTCCAACTAAACAAAATTCAATGAATATTATTTAATCAGGAATATTATCGCCAAACCGCGAATGTCCATTGGGAACAAACTCCGTACATAGGCTTAAATGGAGCGCAACCACACAGAAACTTGGCAAATGGCTTTGCATATTTGCTTTACAAATACACATTACCTATATTTGGAGCGTGAGCCATGCACGGTTTGTTTGTGAGGAGGTTTGTTTCCAGTCACCGTATTGTTGGTTTTTCACTAACTATCCATTTTTACGATTTATGTTAGGGATGTCGAAAGTTGAAAAAAATATCGATATATCGATACATCGATATTTTAAAAAATATCAATATCGGCTTCGATATATCGCGAAAAAAAATATCGATATATCGATATATCGGGCCATTTTTCCAAAAATATATTTAGGTCAGCCTAGCATAGTAATAATAGTTCAATACAAATTATAATTAAAGAAAGAATTATCAAAGTACCAAATTGCCGCTACACTACATGACAGTACAGTATCTCACGAAATATGACACGCGGAATAATAATGGATCGAAAATTATCTCCCTAAAAATAGACCCTATTTTCGAGTGATGAAAATGCCAATGCCAGGGCCTCTCAGGAGCCATCTTTCGTAAACAAGACTAGACAGTCACACACTTCCACAGAATATAATGGAAATCAGCACAACCATTTCACCAGCGAAACAGATTTACAAATAATAGACAATACTAAATACAGCACAGATCATAGATATGTTGAATATCATTAATCTGAGATCTAGTTACGATTTTTCCAGATACGAATTTAGTTAGATCGTTATATGCCGCTAATAATTAAAAAAATATCGTTTTTGATACGAATTTCGATATTGGTTATTTTGTATCGATATATCGATCAAAAAATATCGATATATCGATACATCGATATATTTTCAACAAGCCTAATTTATGTATGAGTTAAAATTTGAGATCAAGATTGGTATTCCAGAAACGCTTGCTTTATATTCAACATTGATTCAGAATTCTCGGAAATCAAACGATTTGTTCTTTTCATATTACGTTGACGTTGAAATTGTATTCAGAACAAATTTGGTGAATAAAATTGAAGTGAAACAGCTGAGATCTTATCAGATATTACTATTATTATATAAATACTAGCTATCCCAGCGAACTTCGTACCGCCATAAAAAATAGGGGTTGGTGAAAATTAAGGGTTAATACATACTATTTTTGTATGATAACAAAAATACATACTATTTTTGTATGATGTATCAAAAATAAAATATCTCAAATGAAAAAAAAAATTAGGGGTGGATTACCCTTAACATTTAGGGGGATGAAAAATAGATGTTGTCCGATTCTCAGACCTACCCAATATGCACACAAAATTTCATGAGAATCGGGAAAGCTGTTTTGGAGGAGTTTAACCACAAACACCGCGACACGAGAATTTTATATATTAGACTAGCTGACCCAGCGAACTTCGTGCCGCCATAAAAATAGGGGCAGGTGGTGGAAATAAAAATTAAGGATTGTATGTGTTTTTTAAAAACACATTATAAAAAATAAATATTGTTCAAAAATAATTTAAGGGGAGTGTAACGTAGTGTTATCTAGCCCATATGAGAACACTACGTTATAATACCCAATAGTTTAAATTTTGGCACGAAGGCGCGTTGTAGGTTTCAGAACACTACGTTACAGGTGTACAACCATTATCACTTAAGGATATGAAAAATAGATAGTAGCTGATTCTCAGACCCACGGAATATGCATTAAAAATTTCATAAAAATCGGTCAGGCCGGTACGGAGGAGTATGGTAACTAACATTGTGACACGAGAATTTTATATATAACATGAGAGTTTGTATGTTGGTATATGTGTATGCTTGTAACTCAATCACACAAAGTCAACTAAACGGATTTGGATGAAATCGTATGCACATATAGTTTTATGAGCTCGATTGAGACATAGGATATTAGTTGATGCGACATTGTGTCGCACCAGCGCTGTTGACATAAAAAAAGGAATGTAACAATTTTACATTACTTGAAAGGATGTATGGGCCTAGCATCCTTTGCTTTCAAGTAACAATAAATAAAAAAAAGTCAGTCTAAAACAGCAAAAATTTAATGCCTACTATTTTCTCCCAGTGATTTTGTTCTTACTTTAAAAGTGGTTTCAAAGCGAAATCATATTTAATATTATGAGAGTAAAGAAATAAGTGTACTTATTATGTAATAAATATATATATATTAAATATGATTATGATAAGCAATTTTAACTGTATAATTGAAAGACATCCTTTGTGTTACTTCCAGGAATAAACTACCACTTTATGAATTCTCAGCAGTTAGTTCTTATTTATTTTACAATAACAACAAACAACACATTTTCATTATTACAATTCTATCTCCGTCACATCGCCGGTAGACTCAGAGCTGTCTGCGTCTGCGTCTGCGTCTGCGTCTGCGTCTGCGTCTGCGTCTGCGTCTGCGTCTGCGTCTGCGTCTGCGTCTGCGTCTGCGTCTGCGTCTACGTCTTTGTCTATGTCTTTGTCTATGTCTGATTTCAGATCATATTTATAATCAGACACTTTATAGGCTTTATTAAATATATCACTGTCACCAATGTTTACCGTGACCCAATACCCTACCCCGGGGAGCCCTGGAACCTTACTCACTGACAGGAACACAACGTTACCAAATTACAAACATTACAATAACAACAAACAACACATTTTCATTATTACAATTCTATCTCCGTCACATCGCCGGTAGACTCAGAGCTGTCTACGTCTACGTCTGCGTCTACGTCTGCGTCTGCGTCTGCGTCTGCGTCTGCGTCTGCGTCTGCGTCTGCGTCTGCGTCTGCGTCTGCGTCTGCGTCTGCGTCTGCGTCTGCGTCTGCGTCTGCGTCTGCGTCTGCGTCTGCGTCTGCGTCTGCGTCTACGTCTATGTCTATGTCTTTGTCTATGTCTGATTTCAGATCATATTTATAATCAGACACTTTATAGGCTTTATTAAATATATCACTCTCACCAATGTTTACCGTGACCCAATACCCTACCCCGGGGAGCCCTGGAACCTTACTCACTGACAGGAACACAACGTTACCAAATTACAAACATTACAATAACAACAAACAACAAATTTTCATTATTACAATTCTATCTCCGTCACATCGCCGGTAGACTCAGAGCTGTCTACGTCTACGTCTGCGTCTACGTCTGCGTCTGCGTCTGCGTCTGCGTCTGCGTCTGCGTCTGCGTCTGCGTCTGCGTCTGCGTCTGCGTCTGCGTCTGCGTCTGCGTCTGCGTCTGCGTCTGCGTCTATGTCTATGTCTTTGTCTATGTCTGATTTCAGATCATATTTATAATCAGACACTTTATAGGCTTTATTAAATATATCACTCTCACCAATGTTTACCGTGACCCAATCCCCTACCCCGGGGAGCCCTGGAACCTTACTCACTGACAGGAACACAACGTTACCAAATTACAAACATTACAATAACAACAAACAACACATTTTCATTATTACAATTGTATCTCCGTCACATCGCCGGTAGACTCAGAGCTGTCTACGTCTACGTCCGCGTCTACGTCTGCGTCTGCGTCTGCGTCTGCGTCTGCGTCTGCGTCTGCGTCTGCGTCTGCGTCTGCGTCTGCGTCTGCGTCTGCGTCTGCGTCTGCGTCTGCGTCTGCGTCTGCGTCTGCGTCTGCGTCTACGTCTATGTCTATGTCTTTGTTCATGTCTGATTTCAGATCATATTTATAATCAGACACTTTATAGGCTTTATTAAATATATCACTCTCACCAATGTTTACCGTGACCCAATCCCCTACCCCGGGGAGCCCTGGAACCTTACTCACTGACAGGAACACAACGTTACCAAATTACAAACATTACAATAACAACAAACAACACATTTTCATTATTACAATTGTATCTCCGTCACATCGCCGGTAGACTCAGAGCTGTCTACGTCTACGTCTGCGTCTGCGTCTGCGTCTGCGTCTGCGTCTGCGTCTGCGTCTGCGTCTGCGTCTGCGTCTGCGTCTGCGTCTGCGTCTGCGTCTGCGTCTGCGTCTGCGTCTGCGTCTGCGTCTGCGTCTGCGTCTGCGTCTGCGTCTGCGTCTGCGTCTGCGTCTACGTCTATGTCTATGTCTTTGTTCATGTCTGATTTCAGATCATATTTATAATCAGACACTTTATAGGCTTTATTAAATATATCACTCTCACCAATGTTTACCGTGACCCAATCCCCTACCCCGGGGAGCCCTGGAACCTTACTCACTGACAGGAACACAACGTTACCAAATTACAAACATTACAATAACAACAAACAACACATTTTCATTATTACAATTGTATCTCCGTCACATCGCCGGTAGACTCAGAGCTGTCTACGTCTACGTCTGCGTCTGCGTCTGCGTCTGCGTCTGCGTCTGCGTCTGCGTCTGCGTCTGCGTCTGCGTCTGCGTCTGCGTCTGCGTCTGCGTCTATAGGCTTTATTAAATATATCACTCTCACCAATGTTTACCGTGACCCAATCCCCTACCCCGGGGAGCCCTGGAACCTTACTCACTGACAGGAACACAACGTTACCAAAAGTAGTGTTATTGTACTGTCATCTGCTACGTGGAGGTTCTTTCCCCAGACGAGTGGTCCAATTCGATCGAAAACGCTATGCCTCTCTTAAGTAACATAACTTCTAAATCTGAAGACAATTTTAGTAGTGTTATTTATTTATTTATTTATTATCTTAGGGCAGCTAACAGTTTATGAATATAAGGATAACAGCAAAAAATATTACTTAAAGCTATTGACAAGCTACCACATATAGAAATCTGTATTGATTAAAAACTGAACGAAAACACAGAAGCGTCAACCATACAGTAATAACAGTTTTACATGAAATGTTAGTAGTGAGAGAAAACATAAAATATTACAATAAGTACTTTACATAATAACTAATTAATCAGCTAAAACAAAACAATAATGAATATAACATCATCAGCATATTTTATCATATTTTAAATATCCCCACTTCTGGGGCACAGGCCTTCCCTATAGATGGAATAGGGAGATTTGGCCATGACCTACCACGCGGGCCCAATGCGGATTGCCGGATGATAATGACTGCAGATGCAGCCGGAACTAACGGCTTAACGTGCTTTCCGAAGCACGTAGGAACTCGAGGTAGAAGATTTTTGGTCACCCATCCAATGACCGACCACTGCGAAAGTTGCCGAATGCGCTAACCACCTGCGCCATCGAGCTCCTCTTATTAATAAACTACAATTGTTATTTCTTCTTTCAAATGTTTAATACTTGTAAAGGTATTCATTTGACATTGTGGGTTATCTCAAACTCAAACTCATTTATTCAGTCTAGGCTGTTACAAGCTCTTGTGAAAGTCGCTACGCCATCAGTTCGTAAATCTACGGCGGGAGACCTTGTGCTGAGAAGAATCGGCAAGAAACTCAGCAAGGGCTATTTTTTTCTCCCTGTTTTGTTTCATACGGTGTCGTCAATTGAAAGATGACATCAAAAACTGAAAACATGTGTTGATGTCAACTTCCATACCATTAATATTATTAATTAACAAAAGTTTAGTACAGCTAGGTACTATATTTTAATTTAGAAGTGGCGATTAAACAATTTTCAACCAAATTAGCAAATTAAAACGACTTAGTCTATTATATTGATCTACAATGCGAAGAGATGGCGCTGCCTTGTAGCCTAAGAAATACTAGAAGGAATTCGACACGGCCATCAGGGCCGCGGTAGCATAATGGTCAGTGCATCAGCCTGGGTAACGGAAGCTGCGGGTTTCAGTCCCATCTGCTGCCTGGTCCGCGTGGAATTATTTATAGTAAAATTTTCTTATTACCATCCGCTAAAAAAGGATTTTGATCAATTCTACCCCCATCATCATCATCATCAGCCTTTTAATGTCCCCACTGCTGGGGCACAGGCCTTCCCTATGGATGGGTTAGGGAGATTGGGCCATGACCCACCACGCGGGCCCAGTGCGGGTTGGTGGGTGCTAACGACTGCAGATGCAGCCGAGCTTGCAGGGTTTAACGTGCCTTTCGAAGCACGGAGGAGCTCGATTAATACTAAATTTTCGGTCACCCATCCAATGACCGACCACTGCGAAAGTTGCTCAACTTCAACGACCACAGCCGAACGCGCTAACCACTGGCGCCATCGAGCTCCTCTATTCTACCCCCAAGGGGATAAAAAAGCAGGTATAAGAAGAATCATAAATGAATGTCATTGTGTATAATACAAGCCTGAGAACAAAAGCTGTAGTCTACACTTCAGCTCTACACCGAAGCGAAGCGAGGGCGGGCCGCTAGTTATGAATAAAGCATTGTGTTCCCATTTGTGCGTAAAATATCGCGAGATACTTTCACGCTGTTGGCATCTTAAATAAATGATCGGAAGAACGATTCAACCTCTTTTAGCTGGTGTCATAGTTAAAGTTCAGAAGTAGTAGGTAAACTGAACTTCGCATAATAATAATTTGTTTTAAATTGTTTAGATCACTAGTGTTCCGTTATCACTTAATCGTGGTTACTTATTTATTATTTTAAATGTGGGTAGGTTCGCAACGAGAACGATGCATCTGCGAATGTGGTTTTTACTAGCCTAACGCATACAGTTAGGCTGCGTTTCCACCAGAGATGTGCGAGGATGCATAGCGAGGGATGTGTTTGTAAAGAACCAATAGAATCGCTTCATTTACCTCGCCTCGGTCAGCACAGCTCTGGTGGAAACGGCTCAGCGGAGCTAGATTTTTGCGCATACAAAACAAGCGAGGGATGTGTACGAGGGATGTGCGTTGAGAAGGATGTGTTGCGAGGTTTGCGCATACTGTACCCGCCAGTCCATAGACGGAGTTTGTTGGAAATAGAAGTGCACAAAATAGATATGGATAATTGGAAAAAGAAGATACTTTTATATTTAACAATTTGCGATAAAGAAATGGAAGCAGAAGATAAAGCAACGCATCCTCGCACCACACATTAATGCGCATTCTCACAGCTCCTCTACACATCCTCGTAGGCACATTTTCATTGCACAGCTTTGGTGGAAATCCCCATACATTTTCACAGCACAGCTGGACATCCTCGCACGACACATTTCCATCGCACATCTCTGGTGGAAACGCAGCCTTAGCCACTGATCACACGAGAAAACCTACGTCACTCCGTTCCGCGTCCGCGCACGCGCTAACATCGTATCATAATCTTTACGTGCGGAATACCAAACAAGTGGAATTCGTGAACAATAAACTATGAATTTCTTATATGACTGTGTGTGCTGTTCATGTGCCCCTCTAGCTAGATGAATACACGGACCACAAGCTTTTTTTATGTTATAGGGGGCATACGAGCAGACGGCTCACCTGATGGTAAGTGATCACCGTCGCCCATGGACACTTGCAACACCAGGAGTATCACAAATGCGATGCCGGCCTTTAAGGAAGGAGTACGCTCTTTTTTTGAAGGTTTTTGGGTCGTATCGGTCCGGAAACACTGCTGGCGACAACATATTCCACAGTTTTGTCGTACGTGGTAAAAAATTTCGACAAAAACGCACGGTTGTGGATAGCCACGCATCAAGATGATGGGGATGAAATTTTTGTCGCGATGTACGATGGCGACATGCAGCAGCTGGAATTAATCCGAACAATTCCTCAGAACACTCCCCGTGATAAATGCGATAGAAGATTCAGAGCGAAGCTACATCCCTACGCAAGCTTCCGACAAAGGTTTCAAACGTGAGTACGCTATTAGCAAACCAATTCGTAATTGTGTATTTATCGTTATCTCGTTGCAGTCCCTTTTTAATCGTTTTAATTACTTATATCGGCTGCCCCCAATATGTATTTGCAATAACAATACAACTAGCATATCTTGACGACCTCCGTGGACGAGTGATTTATACGACGGGTTACAAGGTATCGCTTACTCGAGAAGGCCCGGGTTCGAATCCCAAGAGGGGGGGGGGGGGGCAGATGTTTGTGTGATTAATACTAGAATTTGTACTCCAATCAAAAGGATGCTTAATATGTATTTCTTTATAAATATATCTGTACATGTTATCAGTATATGTATTCTATCCGTTATCCTAGCATCCCATAACACAAGCTTTACAGTGCTTACTTAGTGGCTAGGTTAGTTGGTGTGAGTGTTGGAAATATTTATTTATTTATATCAGTGAAATGCCATACTATGATCGGCCCTCACTTCGCTTCGATGAAGATTATAGTTTTTCGCCTCGGTCATATTAAAGAGTAATGTCAGATTCTGGCTTACAAAACTTTTAATTAGAAAACTTTTAAACTTTTAATTAGTCCAATGCACCTTTTGGACAGGTTTCGGGCATGATTTTGTTCGTGTTGGTGTATGTATTTAATATCGTTAATACACAAGCTCTACTCAGTTAAGAACCAAATATTGTTTGAGATGGCCAAAATTTATTTTTAGTACTAACTTATAAACAGAATAATAATAATAATTCATAACTTGCTGTGTTTACACTATGCCACCCAACTTACTAATAACTTGAGTGCATACTCGGCCCTACCGAGGCAGCGTTAGGTTTGCTGCGAACCGATTTGATTACGACACCGAAATTTGATTATACGTGAACTCCTAACTCGGCCAGATGTAATTATAGCTCATTTGGCGAATGAGCTTATTGGTAAATGGCTCCGAGGCGATTAAGCGACGGACGACCAAAAAATTTTGGACGTTGGTAAGCACTTTAGATATATTATAATAAAATAAAATATATCTTTATTCAAATAAGATCATACATTGCATAAGAATACTTATAATAATATAAAGTACAAAATAATGGATGCCTGAACTAGGTTACAGTTAAAATTGTACCTGTATTTCAGGCTTTTATGATCTAAAATAATACATTGAATGATTAATAAATTAACAAATTAATTTAAACAGAACTTAAAGTAATCATTGTATAAATGTTGGTAAATGTAAATTATGGAGTTACGTTCATTTATTAGTTATATATGTATTGTGTGCATATTTATATTATTTATTAGCTGATCTGGCAAAATAACCATCGGTAAATAAATTTGGATGAGTTATTGCGATTATTCTTTACTAGCAAACCAGTGAACCAAATGTTCACAAAAACCTGATTTAAAAAAAAAAATGTATTTAATTAATTGAGAACTTCGGAGATTTTGTGTGGTTTCGTTTGAAATTCGTGATTTCTCGGAAACCGGAAGTGCTACGTTACTCAAATCCGGTTTGTAGTCTTATCAGACTATTCTTAACTTATAACTTAAACATTCTCTTTATCTATCTCTTACGGTTTGGCCGCTGAAATAGCACCACAGACAGACGGACGGACGGACGGACGGACTTGTCTAATAGATAAGAGATACTTCTATTGCGTCGTTATTAGGCTAATCTAAAATCACATTTTTTTCGTGAACATATGAAATTTCCATAGTATCACAAATCTCACAGTCTTTTGTATAATAAAATCCCTTACTGTTAACTTTATACAAACCTTGTCCTCTCATTAAAGAATACTACAAAGAAAATACATCCAATTTAGTGCAGTCATTCGGAAGTTGGGCGCATAAATACAATTCGACGATTATAGTAATATAAGTTATTTACGGGATTGTTACCATGTACCTTGTTTTTAGCGAGTTTCCGATATTCCGGCACTGTTGCAAGCGCCATGATCACGGAGTAACTGAAATCTACCCTCCGAGAAAGTCTTTTATTGCGTTTGATACCCGTACCACTGTTCACATTCTCACTATTCACTCGAAACTGTTCTCGACACACAACACAGTATCAGATCGTGACACGACACTTTTTTGATTATTTCCGGTTTTACACATAGGAACCGCATGATTCCAGACACTCGACAATTTAAATCCGTCCTCACGATTGAAATTTTCATGTTTTGTATATCGGAAACTAAGGCAAGAGAAGTTGGACACCGCGGATTTTCCACTCGTATTGAATCTTAACATTACATTTTCGTGGTGTTGTGTTTCTGTCTGTGTGTAAGGTTCCAGGTCTCCAAGAGGAAGAAAGAAAAACCAACCCTTGATGAGTTTCTTGCCGGTTCTTCTCAGTTCAAGATCCCCCGCCGTAGATTTGCGAACTGATGGCGTAGCTTTTCGACATTCACAAGTACTTGTAACAGCGTAGACTGAATAAACGATATTGAATTTGTATTTGATGTAACATTATTGGGTAGATACATTCCCTTTTATACTGAACTATGAAGCTAATAAAGTTATATATAGTTCGTCGTCTTATTTATTTCCTTCGACTCGGTTTCTCAGTACATATTATGCTTTTCAAAGAAGTATATATATATAAATACACATATATATAATGATCAACATATTTACTTTTAATAGAAAAGATGTTGCTCAATGACGAATTTACTTATATGAATACCTGTATATATACAGTATTAGCATATATTAGTGACGTTGCGTCACTAAGCGCGTTCTATCTTCTGTACCACGGCGAGTGTTCTGAAGAGTTATTCTCTCTTATCCCACCTTCTCCTTTCCTTCAGAGGACCACGCGCGCTGGCCTTCGGTGTCACCGTCTAACTGTGGCCACAATTCCAACGCGTACAAAGAAATTCGCTGACTCATTTCTTTGTCGCACTATCCGTAAATGGAATGCTCTGCCCGCTCACGTGTTCCCTCCTTCTTACAACCTGGGATCCTTTAAAAGAGGCGGGAAGAAGCAACATGCATGTCGGTAAGGTGAGGATGGCTGGTGCTGTACCAGCTATCTTCACGTCTAGACTTCACCATCACTTAACCTCAGGTGGGGTGGGTGTCTGATCTATCTATAAAAAAAAATTTGATTCTCAAAGACCATCTTTGTACTTTTTGGCAAGTAATGTTTCTAGAGATTATTTGTTTTAAACCCAGACAGTGCAAACGAATTTAGAGGATTTGTAATGGACGACGACCCGTCATTAAACGAAGGCCCACGTACCGCTTCGACAAATATTATCCTCGAGAAAACTACTTAGTGCTTCAGGCGCGTTGCCATGATGAATTGTGACACTAAGACGGTGGGCAGGTGATAATAAATTGTAAAACGGGTGCTTTTAATGCACAAACTCTAGGGGTCTCAGCGTTTGCACCTGTTGGTTACGAGATGCCGTTGGAAATTTAACTAAAACAGGTCGTAATAAGAGCATTAATAATTAGTAGACGATGTCTTCAAAGTCGCTCTGCGCGCTATGGAAAGGGCTATACTCGGCGTTTCTCTGAAGGATCGCATCAGAAATGAGGTAATCCGACAGAGAACCAGAGTCATCGACATAGCCCACCGGATTAGTAAGTTTAAGTGGCAGTGGGCTGGCCATATTTGCCGAAGAACCGATAACCGTTGGGGTAGACGAGTTCTGGAGTGGAGACCGCGTCTAGGCAAACGTAGTGTAGGACGTCCTCAGGCACGATGGAGTGACGATTTGCGCAAGGTGGCTGGCAGGAGCTGGATGCGAGTAGCCCAAGATCGATCTGAGTGGCGTGCAATTGTAGAGGCCTATGTCCAGCAGTGGACTAGGATAGGCTGTTGATAATGATGATAATGTGTTCCAAATCTTAAACTAGTTTTCTGAACTAGTATCTACTTTCATTGTTATCATTTTCTTTTCATAAAGGAAGGCAAAGAAACACAATCGCTTTATGGAAAGGTCATCGTGGCCTATGAATGCCCGCAACATCAGGGGTATCACACAAGCATTGCAAGCAAAAGTTCACACTAGGCTCAAGCAAAGAGTTTGCTCAAACCAAAGCGTTATTTCTCTCACACACACATTGACGTTACGTTTGTTGGCTCAGGCAGTTTCAAACAGAATGTATTCGCCACTAACGACACGTTCTGTAAAAGGCAACAGCGGTAAAAAGTTAATTATTAATGAGGCTGGCGGGACTCGTCTGTTTGCCTATTTTTTTACTATCCTACTAATAAAAGTTTGTATGTTCGTTACTCAATCACGCAAAAACGGCTGTACGGATTTGTATGAAACGTGGCACACATATAGTTTATCACCAGGACTGAAACACAGGATACCCTTTATCCCGAAAAAAAATATAGGTCCCTGAGAGATTCTGAAAAAACTGAAATTAACATGGACGAAGTCGTGAGCAGCCGCTAGTTGAAATGAAATGAAAAATTCTTTATTGGCCATCATAAACATATTATATGACAAAAATAAAACTTAATCTATAGACGGCCAACCAGGCCCCTGCCTCAGCATAAGTTAACATAGTGAGAAAGAAAAACCTTCTCTCATCATGTCGGCGCTGTTATTCTGGCTGGGCCTGTGCAAGGTCGCTTTAATGGATTGTAAAACATTCAAAAACCCAGTAAACACTAAAAACAGAACTTAACTTAGTTAAATAATAATTTATCTTAAACACACCAGACATTTATCTTAAATACTATGTATTGTACGCTCTCCGTGCCATGCCACGAGTAAGTAAACAGTGCCAGTTTCGCGCTCACTAGCATATGCAAATATGCTTTTGTCTGCATGTCGTCTAGCGGAGGCTGGCTGCACGGCCGCGTCGTAAATCACCACGCTTGTCATCGCACTCTGTGACCGCATCAAGGAGTTAACTACGGTATAACGTAGTGGCCGTATAAAGGAGGTAACTGGTATATACGGACTAACTACAACAATGAAATTATGGAATGAGCTCCTCTTCACGTTGCTCCCTCAATACTACTTTCGCGGAACACTCTATTTGAAAGTGGACCATGTTATATTGTTTTAAACATTCATGGTCACTAACATTATAGTAATGTAAGTTATATACGGGATTGTTACCATGTACCATGTTTTTAGCGAGTTTCCGATATTTCGGCACTGTTGCAAGCGCCATGATCACGGAGTAACTGAAGTAATTGCGGGTAGGCTGTTATTGGCAGACATATAGGTCTACCCTCCGAGGAAGTCTTTTATTGCGTTCGATACCCGTACCACTGTTCACATTCTCACTATTCACTCGAAACTTTTCTCGACACACAAAACTTACAGTATCGGATCGCGCAACGGCACTTTTTTGATTATTTCCGGTTTTACACATACGAACCACAGGATTCCAGACACTCGACAATTTAAACCCATCCTCACGATTGATATTTTTATGTTTTGTTATTTCAATCGCTTCCCTGACCAATCTTGGTATGTAGTAGCGTTCTGTCGAGATAATCTGTGGGTTATGAAACTCAATCCAGTGGTTAGGACCAGAATCAATCAAATGTTCCGCGATGGCTGATTTCTGCGTATCGTTTTCTGCGATCGCAATAAAAGACTTCGTCGGAGGGTAGACCATATGTCTGCCAATAACAACCTACCCGCAATTACTTCAGTTACTCCGTGATCATGGCGCTTGCAACAGTGCCGAAATATCGGAAACTCGCTAAAAACATGGTACATGGTAACAATCCCGTAAATAACTTATATTATTATAGTGGACCATGTTGTTGTGAAGGTGTGTAATGACCATGTAGGCATGCACCTACCTTTTTTTTTTTAATACGCAGGTAAAAAATCTATTTACAGACGACGGCGCCTTTAAGAGGCACACCGCCGAACGGACCTCACACCTGGCTCCCGCAAGTCTTACGAACCCCACAGTGGCTGCCCACCGAGGACCCCGCAACTCTTACGGGCGCTTTACGGTATAATATCCGCTAAAAAAGCCCTGCGAATACCCTCTAAGCTGCTTAGTGCGAAACCGCGGGATCCCCGTTTAGGGATTCTTCCGCGTCTCCGCACCCAGCAGCCTCCCGGCCTAGCCGGGGCTCCACGGCAGGGGTCTCCCGAGGTATTGCGGGGACCCCGCAGACATGCGCAGGATGGCCCGCGGGTGGGGGCAAAATACGTGGCCTAGTGCCCACCGTACCGCCCCCCGTCCGCTGCGGAGGACTACTTGGGCGTGCCCGTGTAGCTCCCTCCGCCGCCCCCCGTACCGGCCAGCTAGGGATCCCCGCGGGCAGGGTCATGGGACGGGCGTAGCCAGGGCACACACTCGTCCTCTTCTGCCCGCTCTTCTTCGGCGGGAGGGAGCGGCCAGGGGATCATCCTCCCGCTCCCTCTCGGCTGCCTCCTTCTGCGAGATAACGTTCTCGCAGAAGGAGGCAGCCGCCTCCCATGCCGACTCGCTACGGAGCATGGCCTCTACCATGCTCCGCAGCGAGAGGGTTCCGCCTCCCAGCGCCGCAATCAGGTCGCGGCGCTGCTGCCGCCAGGCCGAGCACTCCAGCAAGGTGTGCTCGGCCGTATCGTCCGGGGCGCCGCAGTGATGACACTAGGCATGCACCTACCTGCTATCTTGCTTAGACGGCCAATTTTCAGGTATCAGGTAATCAAGGTACATAAAAATATTACTTACCCTACGTAAATACTCCGAGCTGATTTTTAATGTATATTTTAGGCAATATCCTTAAAAATAAGTCGCCAATACTCCCAGACATTTTCCATCGGCCGTAATGCTTTACAGACGCTTTAAAGCTCCCAAAATAATTTTTAAATTCACATAGATTCTGATGCTCCATTTTTATATATGTCCAACAGACAACTATATTAAAACCTTTTACAAGAAAACAGACCGATCCAAGGGGCCAGTCATTCCCTAAATTCAATTTTAATGCCTCTGTGGGTAGGAGCGCGAGGGCATTATCTACGTGCATAAGACTGAGGAGCTGATACTTGAGGAGCTCGATGGCGCAAGTGGTTAGCGCGTTCCGCAGCGATCGTTGAATTTAAGCAACTTTCGCAGTGGTCGGTCATTGGATGGGTGACCATAATTTACTATCTCGAGCTCCTCCGTGCTTCGGAAGGCACGTTAAGCCGTTGGTCCCGGCTGCATCTGCAGTCGTTAGCACCCACCAACCCGCACTGGGCCCGCGTGGTGGGTCATGGCCCAATCTCCCTATTCCATCCATAGGGAAGCCTGTGCCCCAGCAGTGGGGACATTAATAGGCTGATGATGATGATGATGATGATAAGACTGAGTGAAACATGTATAAGGATATATTGACTGGCCCCGTGGATAGTCTTTTTTGTAAAAGGTTTTAATATAGTTGTCTGCTGGACATATATAAAAATGGAGCATCAGAATTTACGTGAAGTTAAGTAATTATTTTAGGAGCTTCTGCAAAGCAATACGGCCGACGGAAAGTGTATGGGAGTATTGGCGACTTATTTTTAAGGATATTGCCTAAAATATACATAAAAATTAGCTTGGAGAATTACGTGAGGTAAGTAATGTTTTTGTGTACCTTAATTACCTGTGCAAGCTAGCAGTAAGGCATGCGTTATTAGTACATACTAACACTACACAATCGTCCACATTTCCTTCGTCAGAAAATACGTGACGCCTTGTAGCCCTGGGATCTTGGACTATTACGTCATTATACAGCAAGCCATTAAGCAGCCAGTATTAGATATTTGACATTTGTCAGAAATCCGAATAAATGAGATCGAAACTGAAATTGAATCTAACACAATAACTATGCTGCATTGAGATACACACATCAAAAGTGTCTAGGGATCAAGCATTTTTATGCGGATTTCTTGAGATTGAGATGTGGCTTTGTAATAAATTTATGATTTTATAAATTTATATGGATCCTTTTTGGTGCATTTCATAATTTGAATCAGGAACTGTGAATCAAATTCGAGTAAAAGATGAAAATCAGCTGTCAATATTTTCCCTATAAAAACATACAACGCATTGAAGACATTATTAGTGCTACTGTTTCCCTACTACTGATTAAAACCAACGTTATTATGGAGCGGCGACGTCATTTAAGCAGGGAAGAAATGCTCAGAGCCGTGGGAATGATAGAAGCTGGTTCCCGGCAACGTACTGTGGCTTTAGCTCTGAATACAAGTCAGAGTGTTATCAGTCGACTTTGGACACGATACCGAAGCACTGGTACCGTGGCTGAGCGCCATGGAGGACGGTATCGCTGCACCACACGGAGACAAGACCGATACATTCAAATCTTAACTCGAAGAGCTCCAACAATAACCGCCATGATGTTAGCCGTGAGGCTTCATCACTCTTCAGGGAACTTAATTAGCGACCAAACAGTCAGAAACCGCTTGCATGAAGTGAACCTTCATTCCCGAAGACCGCTACGGGTACCACCTATAGCAATGCACAATCGTAGGATTCGATATCAATGGGCTCTTGAACACAGAAATTGGGCAGAAGAACAATGGCGTTTCGTGTGCTTTTCTGATGAGTCTCGTTTTGGTATGAGACCGGATACAAGACGTATACGACACTGGAGAACCCCTGGGCGCCAACAGCGATTAAAATCCTGCCAGGAAGTCCATCCTTATAGTGGTGGAACCATCATGGTATGGGCGGGTATTTGGATCGGCGGAAGAACTGAGTTGATTTGGATCAGAGGCAACCTCAACGCTCAAATTTATGCTGAGACGATTGTATCAGACGTCATCGTTCCTCTACAAGTGCAAATCGGTCCCTTATTTCAGTTAATGCATGATAATGCACGACCGCACACCGCAAGAGTTGTAAGACAGACTCTCGCCGCAGCTAACATCAATGTCCTGCCCTGGCCTGCTCAGTCGCCAGACTTGAACCCGATTGAGCATGCATGGGATATGCTACAGAGAAGAGCTCTGCCGAATATGGAGGGTATCCAGTCGCAAGAAGACCTTTTTTTGTTGTTGCAACGAACATGGGCGGCCATTCCACAGCGTGATTTGGATGAACTCATTTTGAGTATGCCAAACCGATGTTCTTGTGTTGTTAGTGTTCGCGGTAGAAATACGGATTATTAATTGTTTAAGTTACCCAATAAAATTTTAGAGAAAACTGTTATTTCAGTCTTTTTTTCGAACTTTTGTGTTAGTGGTTCAAATGTCAAAAATCCCTTTATTAGGAAAATGGCAAATTTCTTTATTAATGCAAAGGTGACTTGGTTTATCGTTACTGTGACAAACGAAAACACTTTATTTGATGAATCCTTAAAGAAAATTTTAATTAATATCAATCAGGAGAAAAGTTATTGCAAAAATATATGTTGATCCCTAGACACTTTTGATGTGTGTATATTAATTTCTTCCTCTTGATGAACCTGTGTAGCCAAACTAATTTGTTTAACAGGAATAATTTTGAAAATATTAGGTAAATAATTCTCGTTTAGCGGACAGGGGGCGGTACGGTGGGCACTAGGCCGCGTACTCAGCCCCCACGCGCGGGCCATCCTGCGCACGTCTGACCGGGAGACCCCTGCCGTGGAGCCCCGGCTAGGCCGGGAGGCTGCTAGGTGCGGAGACGCGGAAGAATCCCTAAACGGGGATTCCGCGACTTCGCGCTAAGCAGCTTAGAGGGTGTTCGCAGGGTTTTTTAGCGGATATTATGCCGTAAAGCGCCCGTAAGGGTTACGGGGTCCTCAGTGGGCAGCCACTGCTGGGGCTCGTAAGGCTTGCGGGAGCCAGGTGTGAGGTCCGTTCGGCGGTGTGCCTCTTAAAGGCGCCGTTATAATAGTATTTTTTGCCTGCGTATAAAAAAAAGGTCAATAATTCTCGTTGCGCTCAGCGTA